CATTAATTCAGTTCTCTGGCACTGTCAGATGGATTCCCACCAAAACCAATAATTCAGTTTTCTGGCACTGTCAGATGGATTCACATCAAAACGAATAGTCCAGTTCTCTGTCACTGTCAGATGAATTCCCACCAAAACCAGTATGTCAGTTCTCTGTTACTGTCAGATGGATGCCCACCAAAGCCAGTATTTAGTTCTCTGGCACTGTCAGATGCATGCCCACCAACACCAGTATTTCAGTTCTCTGGCACTGTCAGATGAATTCCCACCAAAACCAGTATTTCAGTTCCCGGGTACTGTCAGATGGGTTACCACCAAAACCAATAGTTCAGTTCTCTGGCACTGTCAATTGGATGCCCACCAAATCCATTAATTCAGTTCTCTGGCACTGTCAGATGGATTCCCACCAAAACCAATAATTCAGTTTTCTGGCACTGTCAGATGGATACCCACTAAAACCAGTATTTCGGTTTCCTGAGAAATATTATTAAAATATTATCCATAGGTATATCATTTATCCAATATAAGCTTCTCTCATATCTCCTGATTGAGTTTTATTTTAATGGAGCAAATATGGACGTACACTGAGTATATTTTCACAAATAAGAGAATTTTAAATTGAATTAGAAGAAAAATAAATTACAGACAACAGATGTTAAATGATGCATTTATGTTTTTTGCAGACTCGGCTATTTATATCCACAGATTAATTCCTATAAACAGGTGGCTTATATAAACAAGCAGCCTGTCGGCTGAAATAGCCCCGCTGTTAGCAATTCACATTGCACGAATAAAAAACTGAAGATATCATTAGAAATAGAACAACATGCATGTCGCCAGATCAGAAACAGATGATGCAGCCTTGATTTCTGAAGTTACGACGTGGTTGGAGGACCAGCCTGGGGTGTTCTACAAAAACGGTGTCCAGAGATGCATCAATGGGAGAAATGCATAACTCTGGGTGGTTCCTATGTATAGAAAGACTAATAACTGTGCCAAGTTTCATTACTCTACTGCTATGAGAAATGGATCAGGAACATTACTTATTGAATGCCCCTCGTAGCATTTATCAGAGTGGGGTGGGCGTATCACTAACAACCAATCCCACAACAACATTTTTGGAGAACATAAATAGACAATACATTATACTGAATATATAAAGACCTCATTGACACATATCAACCTGTTCAAAACCACATACATCCATTCATACATGCATGACCAATATACCTTTATACTCATTGGGCTTATTGTATGTGTAGGTGGGTGTGTCTCCAATAGTATATTCGTAGCAATATGGTTCAATTAACTTCAGCTGATCATGTGTGCTTGCAGCTATATTAACATACTGATGTTTTTACTCACCAAAATACTTTATTGCCACGATACTATTTTTTTAGCTCCGCTGTCGACCGGAGCTTATCATATGAGTGATTGTCCGTCAGTCGTTGTCGTCGTCAATGTTTGACTTTTTCGAATTTTTCTTGAAAACTACAAGTCTCAATGCTTTGATACTTGGTGTATATGTACCTTGGGTAGACCTCTCTCAGATTTGTTCATTTTGTGATGATACATCTTCAATTCTCTAATTTTGGTGAATATTTTTGTAATTTTTGGTACAATTTTCAATAGAATTTTATACAATCGGCTACATAAATGGGATGAAATTATTGAATTTACTAGAGAAGAACAAGCGGGTTTCAGGGCAGGCTATAGCACCATAGATAACGTATTTATTATTCACACATTGGTACAAAAATATCTTGCAACTAAACGGGGACGTTCCTATTGTGCTTTTATTGACTTCGAAAAAGCATTCGACCGAGTCAATCGGGTAGCTTTATTTTTCAAACTTGGTAAAGCAGGTATTAGAGGTAAAATGTATTCCATTCTTAACTCTATGTATTTACAAGTAAAATCATGTGTCTTGGCAAGTGATGGTCTGACAGGCTTCTTTAACTGTCCGGTTGGAGTGCGTCAAGGTTGTATTTTGTCACCCTTTCTGTTCTCTTTTTTTATAAATGACCTTCACGTAGAACTTCAGGCAGACAAGCTTTTACGTGATAGTGTTGGTTGTTCTGTGGGTTTAAAAAAGTTATTTTATCTTCTTTTTGCGGATGATTTAGTTTTGATGTCTTATAATGCAATTGGATTGCAAAGATTACTTAATAAGTTGAAATCGTATTGTGATAATTATCATTTGAGAGTTAATTATAACCAAAACCAATGTAATATTTTTTTGGAAATTGCGTACCGTTACGAAGATACGAGCAGCGGCGATACGATAAGTAGTGCCGTATTACGTTTATTTGGGTATAAAATTCTCACTACGTGGTTCTTGGTCATTATGCCAACAACACCTAGCAGATCAGGCATGCAACAAAAGCGTTCCATGCACTAATGGTTATTATATGTAAAATTGGACCAGTGCCTATTTCTGTGTTTTAAAATATTTGATACAAAAATTGTTCCAATAATGCAATACGATAGCGAGATTTGGAGTCATTTTGAGTCTCCAGCTGTTGAAAATGTACACATCAAATTTTGTAAATTTTTGTTTGCTTCACATTCGTAATACACCATTAATTTACGCAACAGTAAGAGGGGAACTTGGTCGTCCCACAATGTATTCTCTTCGTTTGGGTAGAATGGTGAAATGTTGGCTGAAAATATTTAAAAATGAACCCAAATCGTTACGTTTATCAATGTTACAATTTTCAATGCACACTGGCTGACTCAAACAAAACATGCTGGGTTAAGTCAATAAAAGAAATACCATTTAGTTACGGATTTGGGGAGTTGTGGTACAACCAGTGTGCGGGAGATGAAAATGCGTTTCTTGGCTTGTTTCGTCAGCGGTGTTTTGACATCGATCTCCAAAAATGGTGTGGTGTTGTAGACTCATTTGAAAGATTAACTTCATATAAACTATTATATAAACGTAACCTGGAACTAGAATCGTATCTTGTAATTGAAATGAAAACAGCTTTTCGACTTGCTATGTGTTAAATTTCAGAACATCATCACATAGTCTAATGATTGAAAAGGGACGCCATCTAAACATACCGATCCCAAACAGGATCTGTCCAGTTTGTCGTAGTGGGGTTGAAGATGAGTTTCATTTTTTACTTCTCTGTCCCGCCTACGTCGAGCTGAGGCAGCGCTATATTCCAAACATATACACTAAGCAGCCCCGCCTACGACGAGCTGAGGCAGCGCTATATTCCAAACGTATACACTAAGCAGCCCCGCCTACGACGAGCTGAGGCAGCGCTATATTCCAAACATATACACTAATATAAGCAGCCCCGCCTACAACACCAGTTCATTAACCTAATGACTAACAAAAATCCACAAACTGTTAGAAATTGTGCTAAATATTTATTTTATTCTTTTCTTAATAGACAAACGTTGTTAGAGGAAGCAATTCTTAATGATATCTAACTATTGTATTTAATTTTTGTTTAATCTTTACCATGTGTAACCTGTGACCGCATATACTAGTGATGTATCTTTGAGTGTACTTAGGGCTGCGGCCTATGGTACTTTGGAAATAAACATTAAACATTATTATTATGTTACGGTACGTCGCATTATATTAGTCCCACTGATAAAAAAAAAATCGTCCCATGTTACCATTGGCGGATTTAGATGGGGGCCGAGGGCCCCCCCCATTTTTAACAACCAACAGGGCTTCGCGCCATTGATGCTCGCGAACTTGGCCTTAGGCCAACGTATCCCCCCATTCCAGAATCCTGGATCCGCCCCTAGTTACAGTACGTCGCATTATACCAGTCACATTGATTATAAAAATAACTCAAACTAGGCAAGAAAATGTTACAAATGAATTCAATTGAAAGCAGCAGATTTAATGCTGCGTTGCGTTTGCTGGATACTAATCACGTTGATTAGAAAAATGGTTCACTACACGTGTTACTATTTAAATATTCGTGTGTGTTTTGACACCTTGTCGCTGGAGTCAAGTGACCTGTTTGCTACACTCTTCATTACCATTTCAATGATTGTGTGTACTTTGACACCATGCCCGAACGGAAGATGTGTACGGCCCTTGCATTGTGCTAAAATGTAAGTGTTAATGGCTGCATTCTTTCCATGAACTCTGATAAGTGCTACAAAAGCCGGACAATAAGTTGTGAATAAGATAGTCATACATTCGTTGTGCATTTAATGTATTAACGTTCATTACGCGACAAACCACGAATGTACATTCGAACCCTGACAAAAAGAGATTGTATCAGATGTGTATTCTAATGTCTGCGGTTCACGCAGGCGGCGGAGAATAAGGGTTGGACTATTTGATTTTTGAGGGGGGAGGTCAGCTCAGTGAAAGGCATTTTTTTTTTTTATGTGTTTGGAAATTCTTTTTTATCAGTAGGTTTGCTTGCAATTTTTATTTTTAGTAGTCCTCCATATCCAACATTTTTTTTTCATCATCTTCAACGGAGGTAGCAAAGACTTGATATTTTACTGCCAGGTGGGATGGATTGGTACTTTGATAAGGGTTGGTTCCTCAGACCATCATAAAACATCCATCCTCTCCTTCCATATTTGAATGCTGAGGTGTAATGACCCATTTTGAACAAGCATTGATAATGCATAGTTCCTGTTAAGTATTAGGTGTAGTTGATTTAAATGTTCAGTACAAGTGACATGTAGAAATGAAAGATCAATGTAATATAATTTAACACAAATTATAGATTGTGTTACTGTCAGTATAGTACCTACATGGAAACTTTGAACTGAACAGTTTAGAAGAGAGAAGAAAGAAACAGTTCCGGACATGTTTAAATATCAGAGTTTAGCAAATTTGAGGGCCAAATGGCTGCCAGTCAGCCATATTTAATCGAATTATATTGAAATCATAATCGAATCATACATTGTCTGTATACCAAGTTTGAACGAGATCAGTCAAAGGGTGTCCGAGAAATGGCTCCAGATGGACACAAGAACGGACGGAACCCAAACTAATAGTCCCCGAGATGGTAGGTATGAGTGAGGTGGGTGGTGATAGTGGAATGGTTGGTGAATGTGGGGTGGGTGGTGAGAATGAGATGGTAGGTGTGAGTGAGGTGGGTGGTGAGAATAAGATAGTAGGTGTGAGTGAGGTGGGTGGTGAGAGTCGAATTGTAGGTCAGAACGAGATTGCTCTGTAAGAGTGTGATGTAAAGCATTTGCTGACAAAAATTGTTTCTCATTTATTTGACTCCAGTGTGCAAAGCACACAATGGGAGTCTTTGCAGTTACCCTGTCTGTGTGTGTGTGTGTGGGGGGGGGGGGTGAGTGTGTGTGTGTCTGTTCGTTCCACTGATATCTCAAGAACCGTATGTTGGTTTTTAATGAAACTTTGTGTATAGATGCTTTGGGCTAATGCGCAGATTTGATTAGGTTTTAGTTTGAAATCCATACATATTTAATTACCTGATTTGCATGATAATTAGCTAATTTCTAGCTGTTCTTTGACTTTTCCACTGATATCTAAAGAGCCATTCATTAAATTTTGATGAAACTTGGTACATAGATGCTCTGGACTAATACACAGATGTGATTAGTTTTAGGAAAACATCCATGCATACAATTAACCTAATTTGCATAATGATTGGTAGTAAATTTTCGGCTTTTCCATTGTTATCTCAGGTACTGATCATCACATTTCAATGAAACTTGCATAGATACATAGGACGGTGCAGACAGACAGATGTATGAAATATTGATTACCTAATTTGCATAATTAATAAATTTTCAGCTTTTGATATTTGAAGTACTATTACTTCATTACTTTTCAATGAAACTTGGTACATAGATGCTCTAGAACAATCCAAGAACCTGATTAATTTTAAGTAAAAATGTGTGCATATTAATCAACTATTTTGCATAATTAGTTAATTTTTGGTTATAATCACATTTCAATTAAACCTCGTACATAAATAGTCTGTGACAATACACAGACCTGATTAGTTTTGGGTTAAAATCAGATAATATTAATTACTTAATTTGCATAATAAATCATAATTTTTGGTTATACCGGTAATCACATTTCAATGAAACTTCGTACATAGATGGGTCTGTGACAGTACTTATCTTAATTTAATGAATCTTGGTACATATATACTCTAACACAATGCGATGATCAAATTAGTTTTAGGTTTATATTCATCTATAATAATTACCTAATTTGCATAATAATTTACTTTTCAGCTTTCCACTAATTTAGTTAGGATTAATCATCACATTATATTGAAACTTTGTACATGTGCACCCTGAAACAATATACAGACCTTAATATTTGCTTAATTTGTACAATAATTCATTTGGTTCATTGAGGTAATCCACAGACATGATAAGTTTAATGTTGATAAAAATGCATGTTGATTATCTATTATAAGCCCATTTCTGATATTAAAAAAATCAGATTTAAATTAAATTCATCGCAGAGGTGCTCTAGAAATAATTAGACTAAAAACCATGAATGAAAGATCAAATGTATTTTCTGTATGTATTATAAATTTTGATAATGTGAATTACATTATTTTCATGTTTTGCATCTCAAATAGCAGACAAAAATTAGTTGCCAAGTTTCTTGTTTGAAAAACAAATCTTAAATTTTGAATTAATTTGAATGTGTCTCCAATACTCTCTCAGCACACGGGAGCTCTTTCTAAGCTTTCTTTGATATTTATTTTATTTATTACTTGTTTAATAAAACATGGTTCCATACAATCATGAATGTATCTTGTCTATTATTGTGGTCACATAACATACCGTGGAATGCTTTATTTGCACTGGCATTTTATTTTCCCTGTTTTGCCTGTAGTCAATTTTCTGCAAAATAAATTCCAGTGAAAATGCAGCTTTCTCTATACGTTGCATTGAGTCTTAATACAACATAGTGAAAATTAGATTGACACTATGCCAGAAAGCTGTTTTCAGCAAAAATAAATTCCAGAGAAAATAAAGTATTTTACAGTAGTCGGCATTATTGCAAGCAACTTTTCTAACAATGTTTCTGTTTTAGTCTGTAAAATGTATTTAAACTAAAACAGCTCAATTGTCAGAGATGTTGCATGCAATACTGTATTTGCTCTATTAGTAGCGCATGCTCTTATGTAAATAACAGATGCGTTTCTATGGTCAAAATACATCATATTTTAATAAATAAGTATACAATCAATGCAATTGTTGCCGTACCTGTGCTTCCATTGGAGATGTTGTCCTAATAGAGCATATATGGTATACAATCTAGTGCAACCAGAGTGAATGCAGATATTAATTTTCCCAAACCAGAATCATTGACATCCATTTATATATGACCTAGTTTCTTCTTGTACTCTGTGTCACCTTATCTTGGCAGGAAGAATTGCCATATTCTTATGACGCAGTAATACAAGTGAATCAACTGTGTTTAGAGATGACACGACAACAGCTGATGGAAACATTTTTTTCGCTACCCGGCAAGTCATATAGTGACAATTTTTTTTTTTTGAAGAACCCTTCACTTCTCATTTTTTTTTTTTAATTCTGGCCTCCCCCCCCCTCAAAAATCAAATGGTCAAACCCTAAATGAACATACATCTGTTGCACTGTCAAACACAGTGTTAAATCGTGAAAAATGACCTGCAAAAGACGAAAATTAAGTTGTTAAACAAGATAGTCAAACATTCGTGCATTTAATATAATAACTTTAGATACGAACACGTATCGAATATAATTTATACCAGGGCCGGATCGACCAAACTGTTTTGGGGCCGGAACGTCCAAACCAGGGCCGCAACAGACCAGGGCCGGATCGTCCTGACACCTTCTCGATATACACAATATGGAACGAAAGAAAGCTTTTAGCTAAATTGGTGGAGGTATATTGGCGAACTAGTCCGAGAAAATATACAAACGACAAACGTATCCAAGTGATGTGAAATCATAGACGAAAGTGTGGCGGGATCACCAGCTGGTCGAGGCCGGTAGGCACTGGCATATTGTAACCATGCAATGCGCTCGATGTTTTTCAAAATTAAAATTACAAACGCTGGAAATTTCTCTCATGTTGCGTCACTATTTCGATAAAACCAAATATAGTTCTGGCTCATGGTTGTTTATGATGATTTCACAACAACCTGGCTTTGGGCTAATGAATAATTTGTCCTTGACGAACAAAATCCGTTCACGTCGAATGACAAGCCGGTATATTCCAGATTCAGTGTCAAAGGTCATAGGATAATGAGAGAGAATTTATTCAGCGTGGCAGCATGTTATCTTTTGTTTTACTACTAAAACTAGGTGTTATAGAACTATCTCTGACGGATTCAATACATTGTGTTATAGAATTAATTTTCTATAGAATACAATCAGACAGTCGCAAATTAACTCTGGGAAACCAAAGTAAAATTATGAAATTAACTGATTGCAAATCTAACTTCTCCCAACCACAGTAGAATGAATACGCATGCGTGGTGAACGTTTTGCGGCATTTCGTTCATTTGTCTCGAACGCGTTAAACAAGACGCAACTTCCACTTATTTTCTGTGTGGTTACGATTCAACCGGTATCGTTTTCCTTCAATGTGTAGGGATATCACGGTAGGTGGACTTTTTCTGTAATGTCGATCTTACTTTTGACACATTTTCAGAGCGAAATGTTGATTCAAAAGTGCGTTTCGGCATGTTTTAGTGAGCAGTGCCACGACACTGCTGCCAAGTAGTAGAGGTTTGATCGGTACTCGTACTATGTGGCTGGCTTTGTTTGATGTGTAAATGTTATGCGCCGGCTTGGGTGTAGCCAACATTTAAATAGGAATGCTACGTAGTGCCATAATATTTGCCGTTTTCTTCATCTGTTTAATCAACCAGGATTGTCGGACATGTGATGTGTTTTGATTTCTCTTGGTAAAAATTGATTATCCAGTCGATCGTTTCTAAAACATGAGACCATTTTAATGTATGTCGTATACATGTCGATGTGTGTCGCTATTATTGCAAAAACATTCAAGTGTCTGAACATTGTTCTTCGCACGCGCATTGGAATGATGTTCGAGAACTTTACATTTTTTTCTCCTGCTTTCACATTTGACACCCACCATCATATTACCCGAGACTACGCCCGGATAACGTGCTGCAGTTTGATCACCACACATCTCTTCGTCGGATTACAGTATGACGATGTCTACAATTGTACAAGGAAAAAAGAATATTCAGTTCTCGATTTACATTACAAATAAAAAAAACGTCACTTACAAAGGCCGACCTCGTATTTTTCCGATTTATTACAATCTTAAGTGTACCTCATTTTGAAGGTCGTGTAAATTATGTGTCCTTGGCCTGATATTGCAGGATAATAAACATATACATGTACCAATCCAAATAATGAAGCCCTGCATTTTTGTATTTTTTGGTTCAAAGCCGCTGTTTTGCTGATTCAGAAAGCATCGAAATCTCTGCACAATGGGAATTGTTATTTCAGAATTTGAGTAGAAAATTAAAATAAAATGATTATACTTTATTGGAGTATTCATCATCATGAATCATTCTTGTAATGTAATTTTTTTTTTTGGAAGATGGAGTGAGAACGTCTTTTATTTGTGACTCACTCTGTCATAACATATCATGTATCCCATATATTATTGCTGTTCAGTGTTATAATTTTCTATATCTTCATACAATGTCATAACAAATCCTGGCAATCAGATTGGCCCATGCAAGCAGATTGAACTTTTGACATTATGGCCAAGTATCACAAAATATGCCAATATGTATGTTGGTGGTTTTAATTGAATTATTAAAAATTGTATTAATTCAAATAATTCTAGTGAAATGTGTTAAGAGATTATTTTTCACAGATTGTGAAATTCGATTTGACTTCAAAATTAGTCATTACTGGTATGTTACAAATACATAACCATAGTGTTGGCTTCTCAATTGCAATGGGGTTAAGCTAACAGTAATCAGTGTCCATGAAAGACAATTTTTGTTTTGGAAACCTCACAAAATACAATTGCAGTCTTAGTTAGCATTTAGAAGCTGCAAAATAGATATATGGATAAACAGGATATCAAATTTGTGACCCCACAATATCAGATTTATTAAAATTGTCTAGCAATTTTCATTCGTTCTTCAACTTTAGCTCCTGACAAATGAAA